GGAATAGCGACCGGCTCACAGAGACAGGTGTCGTAGATTAATTTATTACTTAGTGCCCGCTGACGCACGGTCAGGTACGTCGCACTTTTGTTTAAATATGGTTAATAAATATATTCACAGGCGCGTGTTATGATCATCGTCACTATTATACGTTATATGATCATTTGTACCAGATCCCTCTTCACCGCAAACGCTAGTCTAGACCCCTAGTCCATCACGATTCCCCTACGCACACAGACCCTCCTCTCTCCATGACTACCGCCCCCCCTCCTCAGCAGTACCAACACTCACCCACCCACAGCCCTTTCCCCGTCAGTACCAGCTCCCCCAACCTAAACCCCAATTGAAGTATCAGCAAGGAAGTTGACCAATATATGTATGTATATATATATATATATATAATATACATAATATATATACTGTATTATATGTGTATGTTATTTAAGAATGGCAGAATGTTTACGGCTCGGTCACGCAGCCTGTATTTCGCTGCGGGGAGCCAGCCGTTATTAGGCGCACATCCTTATCGCGCCTTCCCTCTAGAAATATACATACATCTGCTTACATTTCACGCCCTATAATGCCACCGCACGCACGCACGCACGCACGCACGCACGCACGCACGCACGCACGCACGCGCATCACAATGTGATCATACTCGTGGTGAGTATCGAATGTAGATGGCGCCACGGTGACTGCTATGAGAGCATGGATGACACACTATATATCAATCGTATCAATACTGGTTCCATTTCACGGTAACTGATTACATGGCATCGTATAACCGACATAGTATATTCGTAATAATTGGAGGCGTTCGTCCGTATAAGCTACGTGCTTGGTAGTTGTGTGTGTCACAAAAACTGGCAGTATTACACGAAATATTTGGTCTGAAACATGTGCACACACATGCTCACGCACACACAGGCACGCGCGGACGCACGCACTCGCGCACACACACACACACACAATACGGATCTCACTTCTTTACGTGGCAAGTACCAATACAATATAAAACAACATTCACGTTATAAAAATCCAAAGGTCCTTAACTAGTGTTCCTAATGATGAATAAATATTCTATCTCAAGCACATTAAGAACACGCGGTATATCTACGATAGGATACATGATGATAATACATACGATATACATAGATATATAGATACTACGTACAAACAATACATCATATACATATAGGTGCATATATAACCACAGTGGCAGATAAAACAGTCATAGGTGGAAGTTCTCCGGAAAAAATATCCACTGTATTTTTTTGCTCGGCAGATCTTTCGTTTATACACGCGTTCACCTCACGTTCTATATTAGTTTGTTTGCGTTATTAGCGCTGGCGTCTCTTCCACATCAGTACCACACGTAGTAAAGAGTTAAATTCCCACCCTAGCAGCGCATCCTCTCAGCCCACACACTCCACTTCGCGTGGAACACTTATCGGCGTTTGCAAACACAAACACAACGTTCACGGACACGGACACGAACACGAGTTGGCTTCGGCGCAGTAGAAAGGACACAACTCGACGAATTGGTTGACCGAGAGTATGAATAAACATAGAAAGCTCCCAGTTCGTGTATTAACATGGACAGAATCCCTAGAAAACACGGCTACGAAAGAGGCACTTGATCCCACCAGATACTTGAACGCCCCCACCCCACCGCTTCAACCACCCAACCACCCTTCCCACCACCCCCGCGCTCCCAAATTAACCCTCTCCCCCGAAAACACACAATCTCGCGACAACACCCCTCCACATCAACACACTACGCGAGGGCGAGCGAAACAGGGCAGTGGTTGCATGTGACGTTACTTACTACACAACGAGAAAAATGACTAGAATGATTAGCTAACAAAAGGCGTGAGTATAATATACCAACCACATCTTGGTTCATTAAGAGCCTGTCTCTCTCTCTCTCTCTCTTCTCTCTCTCTCTCTCTCTCTCTCTCTCTCATCTCTCTACTCTCTCTCTCTCGAGCTCTCACCCTCTCATCTCTTCTCTCCATCTTTTCTCCTCTCTCTCTCCTCTCCCCACCTCTCATCTCTCTCTCTCCACTCGTCATCTCTCCAATACTCTCTCTCTCTCCCTCTCTCTCTCTCTTCTCTAATCTCGTCTTCTCCTTGTCTCTCCTTCTCCTCACATCCCTCTCCTCTCGACCCGACCATTGTCCCCTCTTCTCTCCCTCTCTACTCTTCTCCGCGGACTCTCACGCTCTCTCTCGTCTCTCTCTCTCTCTGCCGTCTCTCATCTCTCCCATCG